CAGCGGAGCGCCCACGGCACGTGTCCCCACCGCACACGCTCCGCGGGACGGGCGCCCAACCCCAGTCCCTGGCTCCCCGGGGCTCGGCCGCGCACCTCGAACTGCCAGTGGGCCGCCTGCAGCAGCTGCTTCGCCTGGTCGGCCGCACAGCCGGCCGTCAGCACGAACTGGTTGATCATGACCTGGTGCTTAAGCTCATCCATGTTCACGGACATGGCGCCACCAACGCCGCGCTGCCCGCTCCGGCCTCCCGCCGCCGCCGCGCGCTCCTCCGCTTCACGCGTCCACCATTAGCGAGCCGGCTCCGGCTAATACAAATATTTACTGTGCGGCTCTGACTCACCGAGCCTCGCCTCGCTCCGGGGCTGCGGGGGGCATGCTGGGAGATGTAGTCCGCACCGCGCCCGACAGCGCTCCATCGGGGGCTGCGGGCCGAGTTGTCCGAGGCTGGGCACCTACTGTGCGCAGAAGCGGGCCGTAACGAGAGCGGAGCACCCGCGCCCCAGCCGTGGCACTAACTGGGCCCGGAAGGCAGAGGCCACAGGGGTCTTTATCAAGACCCTGGGGAGCCCGGGTGTGGTTGGCATCCCTGTGTTGAGTGGGCGCACCCTTGGGGAGGAGAGCCCTAGCAATTTTGGCAGAAATCGGCAGCACTAGGCCGCGGGGCCCCTAAGGTCTGGCATAGAGTAAGCGTCTATATCCGTTCAGTAAATAAATGAATCTGCCCTTTAGGACTCTGCTCAAAATCACCGCCTCCAGGAAGCCTTCCGAGTCTCCCCAACTCCCCGGGCGCATCATGCACTTGGGAAGCGCGTCCCTCCCCGGCCTGGCGCTCGGCCAAGTGCACAGTAGGCTCAAGGAACTCCTGGGGTTAGGTAGGTATGGGGCCCGGGATGGGCAGGCAAAGCAGGCAGTCTGTTGCCTCAGGGTTCCTTCCCTGCGGCGCTCGCACTTTCCCACGCAAAATCCGGTGAGCTTTGCCTGAAATCTCGCCGGTAACGTCCCGGCGCCAGGACCGCGCGGAGCCAGTTCCGGAAAGGCTCCGAACTCCCATACCCAGAATGCCTCAGTTTATTTGCAAGTTTCGGTCCCGAGTGACGTCAAGTGAGTGAGGCCGCGTCTCGGCCAATGTGAGACCGCGGGGTGTTAGGACCTGGCCATATTAGGTAAACAAAGCTGGTGGCCCAATGAGGCGGCGTCTGGGGCGGACGCTGGGTCGAGGCCCGCTGGAGGGGACGGGGGG